TCGGAAACTGACACAACTAATTTTGTGATTTTGAATTATAAATGCTCAAGAACATGCTAAACATCTTCAAAATTTAAGGCTGTTCAGTTTTTGTGTACGAAGAATTGAGTACACTATGAAGTGGGTCGCGGGGAACGCATACCTATACCTGTAATATGTATAGATATATACGCATTGTTGATATACTGTATATCAACATCTCCTGAAGAGTGAGTTACTCACGGAACAGGCTTGTAGAGATAACCCATGTAGTTTTACTTTCTTCAATCTATGATATATCACGCTCAACGTGCTAACGTATTGAGCACTGTGCTACGAAAGTATCAAAAGACAAATTTCTATATATATGTAACACCTAAATCCCTTTATGTACCGTCCCTAATTTACCTTTTGTATAACCTTACACATTATGTAACACCTTCTGTACCGTATTATCTTTTTATTCGAGGAATATTCCAGTATATCAACATCTCCTGAAGAGTGAGTTACTCACGAAACAGGCCTGTAGAGATAAACCATGTAGTTTTACTTTCTTCAATCTATGATATATATATATATATATATATATATATATATATTATATATATATATATATATATAATATATATATATAATATATATATATATATATATATATATATATATAGATACTCAATAAAAAAACAACTTGGTTGACGTTTCGCTATAAGCTTCTTCAGAATAACTAACACATACATCTGGAGCGTAAAATAAGGAATACGGAACAAAAGAACAAAAAGTAACACATTTTACAAGCAAGAACAATAATAGCTAATTTAACAACATAATGATAGTTTCTAAGCACAGCCGGAGGTGAGAAAAGATGGATAAACACAATAGATCAAAGAACAATAGAACAAGTGTGATAGCAGATGGTATAGCATGCAGAAAGGTCCAAGGAAAAGGAACGGTAAATGCTGTCTGTCCCAAAAAAAATAAGAAACTAGGTAAATAAATATAATAAATATAGAATGCAAAGAAAAGAAAGAAAGTAGATAGAAAACGTGGAAAAAATAAAAATAAACAAAAGTAACAAGGAGAAAATAAACAAAAAGATAGGAAATAAAAATAAAACTATGTGTCAACTAACCTAATATTAAGGCCCCGGGGCGCAAAAGTTTCTAACTTATACTGCCAGAAACTTTCACGTATCCTACCATTCCCATTAAGTCTATCTATAATAGTAACTTTTATATCTTCGAGAAACCCATGATGATCCTTCCCTGCAAAATGCCGGAAAAAATCAGCCTGAGGTACACCCGAAGAGCCCCCGATAAGCTTACGATTGCACGCCTTGTAGTTATTAAACCTAAGCCTAAAAAGCGTGCAAGTGCTACCCACATACTGTACACCACATACTTTACATTCCATAAGATACACAACATTGGACGAATCACAATTAAACGAAAAATTTATCTTATATTCCTTATCAGTTATATGGGAAGTGAAAGTATCAATGTCACACATAACATTACACACTTGACACCGAGACTTGCCACACGGAGTACAACCCTTGTTATGCGAAACCCCTGCCCCCTCACTATGAAGTTTAGCCCTAACTAGTATATCTTTAAGATTCTTACACCTCTTAAATGATATCAAAGGTGGCTGAGGAAACACCCTCCTATGCTCTTCTGATACTGTAAGCATAGAATGAAGTCTCCCGGCCACCTTGCCCAAATTATTCAAGGCTGGATGGTATGTGGTAACAAATGGAACCCGCCCATTCCCACTGTGTTCATGTTTCCCATTAGCCTTATCCAGTAGTGTAACCCTATCCTGCCTACGTGCCTTATCTATCTGTTCTGTTATAAGTGATTCCTCATACCCCCTTGCCTTTAACCATCCAGCCAAATCCCTTAACCTATCCCGTAACTGGCGATCGTCCGAACAAATCCTACGTAACCTTAAAGCCTGACTATAGGGTATCGCCTTCTTGGTATGCCATGGGTGACAAGACTTCTTATGTAAATACTGATGTGTATCAGTAGGTTTACAAAACAAGTCTGTCGTTAGGACTCCCCCCTCACTTACACTAACCTTAACATCTAGAAAACTTATACTCTCCCTGGAGTGCTCCCCTGTAAACTTAATGGTATCGTGGCTACTGTTAAGAAAGTTGATGAAGGTCTCAAGCTTCTCCTCGCCATGTGTCCAGATAAAGAAAACATCATCGATGAATCTCATCCAGACAATTGGTGTGTCCACTGATTCCTTCAACAATCTTTCTTCCAACCCAGTCATAAAGAGGTTTGCATAAGCTGGAGCGAACTTAGTTCCTATAGCGGTGCCTAACTTCTGTCTATAAAACTTATCATTAAATTCAAAGTAGTTGCTTTCAAGAACCAGAGATGCCAATCCCACTAGGGTATCAGTAGCCACGTTTGGGTTTTTCCTTCTATCCAGCGCTTCCCTGATGGCTTCCAGACCCTCCCCATGTGGAATGCTAGGATAGAGTCCCACAACATCAACTGTACACAGTATAGCCCCCTCTGGTGTCCTACCTATTTCACCTAACTTAGACAAGAAATGATTAGTATCCTTAATGTAAGACCTACCGAGGCTAACCAGTGGATTGAGGTGGTGATCTAGATATTCTGATATATTTTCTGTAACGGTGCCACAATTGGAAATGACTGGTCGACCCTTAACCCCACTTAATCCCTTATGAATCTTAGGTAACAAATAGAACCTACCTAGTTTCCCTTCATTAACTTTAAGAAAATCAGTCACTTCCTTTAACCCGGGATCCTCCACCCTTAACTCAATAATCCTATTATTAACGGCCTTACCCAATTCTATCGTGGGGTCCACCTCAATCTCCTCGTAAACTTGCCTATCACCTAACTGCCGGTTAGCCTCTTCTATGTAATCCCCCCTGTCCCAAACTACAACAGCTGAGCCCTTGTCCGCTTCCTTGATAACTATATTCCTATCACACTTAAAATTATTCAACGCAGAAAGTTCAGAAGAGGAAAGGTTACTGTAATACTTACTATCCGTGGTAATAGACAGCACATCCTTTTCAAGTTGAGAAAGAAAAGATTCTAGCAGAGGATCAGAAGTAGGAGGATTCCAGCTGGACTTACACCTAAATTTAGAAATATTAACGTCCACAGGGTTTGACTCAGAATCTCGGAAAAACCAGCGTAAACGCATTCTTCTTCTTTTGATTAATATATATATATATATATATATATATATATATTAATCAAGTTAGAAATAGTATATATATATAATAAAATAGAATATATACTAGAAATGAGACATGTTCTCTGTTACTCCGAGTTTCGTGCTTACGCACTCATCAGACAGACTATAATGAAGAATATTCCTGCTACCGCGGTATAAATATACAAAAGGTGTGATAAAGTTGGACAAAAGAAATTTTATTTAATACAGGTTAATTAGTTAGGTGGAGTTCTATTGTTCATGAGATAAAACTTGTTTTCGTGTCGGCATTTGGAGATTAATTCGGATCGTTTGTTTAGAAGGGTGTTGTTATTTGCTTTGATGATGTATAGTTTTTCTGTTAAGCATAGGTCACACCTTTTTGTAATGTTGTTGTATGGTTTGGCTGAGGTGATGATGGTCCATTGTATGTCATAATCCTTGTTTTTGTCTTTAAGTTCCCAGATGTATTTTGATAGTTCGGTACTGTTGGCGTATTTTCGGTTGCGGAATGAGAGTTTGTGTTGTGTAAATCGTTGTTTGAAGGTTCCTTCTGTTAGGCCAATGTAGTTTTTGCTGACAGTGTCTTCGGTTGTGGTGATATGTGCGTTGTAGATGATGCTGGAAGAGAGGCAGTTGTTGTCTAGTGGGCATTGGTCTTTTTTCGGCAGTTGCATGTTTTCTCGTTGGTAGTGGTGGGTTTGGTGTTGATAATTTTCTTGTTGTGTTTGTTGATGATAGTTTGCATATTATCCATACAGCTGTAGCTGACTTTAACGTTGTTCTTGTTGAAGATCTGATGGAATTTGTGATTCTTGGGGAAGTGTATATGTATGAGCTTGAGGAAAGTTCTGCCGATGTTAGTTTGTACATTCTTGCTGTGTGGTGGGTTGTACCAGATTATGTTGCGCTGTCTGTTTATGTTCCGCTGTCTAACGAAGACCTAGATGCATTTGAGTCTGATTTACTCAACATGATCAAGCACATCCAATTCAGGAAAACACACGACCAATTTCAAGACCAGCTACGCGAAGACATCAAAAAGATCAACGCCTCCACGAAAGCCTTCATCCCCGCTGACAAAACAACCAACTACTACAAACTGGATAGTGAACTACATGACAAACTACTAACTAACAGCATAACCACAACCTACAAGAAAGCAAACGACAGCGCCATCCACACAATAAACAACGAAGCACGGAACATCGCCACTGAACTCAACATCCAAGACCGAACAGAATGTATGGCAGAACGACAAGCATTCATAACTCTAAAAGACCATAAAGAAAACTTCCAGAACAACCCCACCTGCAGACTAATCAACCCCGCAAAAAGTGAAATAGGCCGTATCAGCAAACAGATCCTTGACAGAATCAACACGACCATCAGAAACCAAACTACCCTAAACCAATGGAAAAACACTTCGTCTGTAATCAACTGGTTCAACAGCATACCAAACAAGCATCAACATACATTTGTTATCTTCGACATTGAAAACTTTTACCCCTCAATAACCGAAAAACTCCTTACAGACTCTATCTCCTTCGCCAAGAAATACTGCAAAATCACCGAAAAGGATACCAACATCATAATGCATGCCCGCAAATCACTCCTATTCAGCAAAGGAAATACATGGACGAAAAAAGACAGCCACATGTTCGATGTGACTATGGGGAGCTTTGACGGCGCGGAAATTTGTGAACTGGTTGGTCTTTTCATCCTCAATAAGCTGGGTGCAAAATACGGAAAAGACAACATAGGTCTATACAGAGACGACGGACTCGCTATCTTTAAGAACACTCCTGGTCCACAAGCAGAGAGAATCAGGAAGGACATTACAAAACTTTTCAAGACTCACGGCCTCATCATCACCATACAGACCAACCTAAAAATTGTGAACTACCTCGACGTAACACTAAACCTAACAAATCAATCGTATTGTCCATACAGAAAGCCCAACGACCAGCCACTATACATCAATACAAAGTCCAACCATCCCCCCAACATCATAAAGCACTTACCTGGAGCAATCAACCGTAGAATAACTGACATATCATGCAACGAAAGTGAATTCAACAAAGCCAAGCCCATCTACGAAAACGCCCTAAAAGCCAGTGGATACCCCGACACCCTAAAATACAACGACCACACATCACCCACACGTAAAAGAAGAAACAGACAGCGCAACATAATCTGGTACAACCCACCATACAGCAAGAATGTACAAACTAACATCGGCAAAACTTTCCTCAAGCTCATACATATACACTTCCCCAAGAATCACAAATTCCATCAGATCTTCAACAAGAACAACGTTAAAGTCAGCTACAGCTGTATGGATAATATGCAAACTATCATCAACAAACACAACAAGAAAATTATCAACACCAAACCCACCACTACCAACGAGAAAACATGCAACTGCCGAAAAAAGACCAATGCCCACTAGACAACAACTGCCTCTCTTCCAGCATTATCTACAACGCACATATCACCACAACCGAAGACACTGTCAGCAAAAACTACATTGGCCTAACAGAAGGAACCTTCAAACAACGATTTACACAACACAAACTCTCATTCCGCAACCGAAAATACGCCAACAGTACCGAACTAACAAAATACATCTGGGAACTTAAAGACAAAAACAAGGATTATGACATACAATGGACCATCATCACCTCAGCCAAACCATACAACAACATTACAAAAAGGTGTGACCTATGCTTAACAGAAAAACTATACATCATCAAAGCAAATAACAACACCCTTCTAAACAAACGATCCGAATTAATCTCCAAATGCCGACACGAAAACAAGTTTTATCTCATGAACAATAGAACTCCACCTAACTAATTAACCTGTATTAAATAAAATTTCTTTTGTCTAACTTTATCACACCTTTTGTATATTTATACCGCGGTAACAGGAATATTCTTCATTATAGTCTGCCTGATGAGTGCGTAAGCACGAAACTCGGAGTAACGGAGAACATGTCTCATTTCTAGTATATATTCTATTTTATTATATCTATTGCTCTGTGCTTT